CAGCAGCAGCGGAAAGCCATTTCTTTCCATGTCTTGTTGGATCCGGATCGAAGAAAGCAGTTTATCCAACCCCTCGTGACCTTGGAAAGGAAATCTCATGCATTATCAGCCAGGCTCTTAAGAGTTCACTCCAGTTGCTTTTGGCTGCATACATGGCGACCATCACCTCAGGGACTGGAAGGCTGAGTTGGAGAAAGGCCCTTGTTTTTCCAAGGCTTTTATAGAGTTGAAAGGCTGCCTGACAGTAGTCTTTTATGCATACGGCATTGGGAGAAAGCTATATTGCATATTCGACAATATTTTCCACTCAGGGTGGGGTGGGGGCGCTAATGGAAGAGGCAGCTTCATTGACTGATAATTGCATCCCTCCTCCCTGCCCCAAACTGGCAGCAGAGAGCAGCACACAGGCCTAGTTAGCTCTTGGCTGGCCAGTGCTGGAAGCTTGAGCGATCGTAGAGAAACAAGCAGTTTTATTCCCTTCAGCCCATAAAACTCCCTTGTAATGACTTCAGGGCTGAGTGAAGGTTTCCTTGAAACCATTGCAGCATCTAGAACACCTTGGAATATCTCCTGAGTCCAAGAAAAGACTCCAACATGGTTTGGGAGCTAAAGGAGAATGATAGAAGTTTATTCTTCCCCATCATATGGCCTTGTGGCAACTCTGAGAAGGTGTTGGTGTTGTGTCCCAAGAGCTCTCAGGAAGTGGCAATGCTCTCCTCAGGACCCCAGACTTTATCTACTAGATGAGAACTTATGAGGTGAGGGAGAAGGCAATGCATAAAGGATTTCTGCCCTACTTCCCTTCCGTATTTCTGTCAGTAGCTCATAGATTCCCACTATTTCATATTGCACATTCATGGTTGCTACTGGTTCCCAGTGCTTTGAGACTCGTGGAATAATGTTCATGCAATATGGTAACTGAGCTTAGAATTGGTCGTGTGGCGAGGTGCAAGATTAGCCATCTGAAAAATGGGGTGATTGAATTGCACTGTTGGAGAAGAAGAAGAAGAAGAGTTTGGATTTGATATCCCACTTTATCACTACCCAAAGGAGTCTCAAAGCGGCTAACATTCTCCTTTCCCTTCCTCCCCCACAACAAACACTCTGTGAGGTGAGTGGGGCTGAGAGACTTCAAAGAAGTGTGACTAGCCCAAGGTCACCCAGCAGCTGCATGTGGAGGAGCGGGGAAGCGAACCCAGTTCACCAGATTTTCAAACACTGGCAGGATTTGAGCTTGGGTGTCCCAGTATACTATTAGACTTTTCTGTCTATTAAATCATGGCTAGTGTGGTATTTTAAAAAAAAACCCTGCCGAATTTCTTTGCTGCCTGTTTATTTCAGTAATGAAAAAAGCAGAGTGTTCTCTGTCGGCCAAGGTATTTTACTGTTGTGGTTTTCATATAAGATAGGGGTGGTCAGGCAATGTTCCAGGGAATCCTCAGGTACCTCAGATGCTTATTGGGCATTTGGTGAGAAGATCAGGAATGAAAAACACTTGGAGCCAGATTGCGCGCCTCTGTTGGTAATTTACCTAGCTTTCCTTAACTCATTCAGCCAGTGGGCCAAAAGACTGCTGCTGTGTTCTTGATCCATCTAGAAAAATTGTGATAGTACAGATCAACAGGCTGAGAGAAGCAGCTGCTTGGGGTGGAAGGAGATCTAGATCAGTCCATTCTCTACCTCGTGCCCCTTCATGCCAAAAACAGCAGATCAGCTTAGTTGTTTAATTGAACTATTCATGTGTAACACATTGGGACGTGGGTGGCGCTGTGGGTTAAACCACAGAGCCTAGGACTTGCCAATCAGAAGGTTTGGCGGTTTGAATCCCCTGGACGGGGTGAGCTCCCGTTGCTCGGTCCCTGCTCCTGCCAACCTAGCAGTTTGAAAGCTTGTCAAAGTGTAAGTAGATAAATAGGTACCGCTCCAGCGGGAAGGTAAACAGTGTTTCTGTGCGCTGCTCTGGTTCGCCAGAAGTGGCTTAGTCATGCTGGCCACATGACCCGGAAGCTGTCTGCGGACAAACGCCAGCTCCCTCGGCCAAAAAAGTGAGATGAGCGCCACAACCCCAGAGTCGGTCACTACTGGACCTAATGGTTAGGGGTCCCTTTACCTATGTGTAGCCCAGTCAACCTGTTGGATAGTACATATTTGCTGTATGTCATGGATCATGCTTTATCCTACCCCTAACCCCCTCAGAAAAACAATTTCATAATACAGTAACAGAGCAAAACAATATCAGATATAATAGCATGCAGAAAGCCACATTTTCAGCCATAGGCCGGTCCACCGTCCCTCAGACCATGTGGTGGGCTGGACTATATATATATATATATATATGGGGGGGGAGTACGAATTCCTATGCCCCACAAATAACCCAGAGGTGCATTTTTCTTTGTTTTTTATCTTTTCTTTTCTTTTTTCTTTTCTTTCATTCTTAGTTTCGTGTTTTAATCTGTAAGATTTGGAACTGTTTCTTTCTTGTTTTGGCGTATTGTTATATTTTGTTGTTATTATTAATAAATATTATTTTAAAAAATTAAACAAAAGCACACATTCTGCTCATGTAAAAAAACTAGGCAGGCCCCACAAATAACCCAGATATGCATTTTAAATAAAAGGACACATTCTACTCATGTAAAAACATGCTGATTCCTGGGCCGTCCACAAGCCTGATTGAGAAGGCGATTGGGCCACATCTGGCCCACGGGCCTTAGGTTGCCTACCCCTGTTTCAGTACTATAAAGGTAACAATGTTACATAAACAGCATTCCAAGAGCAAATATAACAAGGGAGCTTCATAGTTTCACCTTGGTCCTAGAAACATCCCTCCTATTGTGTTACACTTACTTTTTGTCTGTGCCACATTTGATCTTGACCTCAGCCGTTTAATGTGCTCCTCTACCAGTTCAAAAGAAGCCCATTTGAGAGTCTAAACAAGGGTTTTAACTATCCTGTCCTTGCGCTGTTTTTCTAGTGGGAAGGGACTCCTTGTGTGGTCTTTCCTTCTGCCACAAATGCAAGTCAGTATCTCTCACAATTGCTCTTTGTGTAAACACGGAGTCCAACATGCGCATGCACATATGCAGAAACCAGTTAAATATTTATGCCTGAGAGATGATCTCATAGATTGTCTCTGTATGGAGGAATCCTTCTTTCTGATTTGATATGTGGACAACATCACTCCTTTTGCGTTGTTTTAAGAACTGTTTTAAACCTATGATGTAGCTTTTAATGTACTGTTCCCTAACTCCTTATTGTGTCACTTTGGGGCTTGTTTTGCTAAATTTATCTTGTGGTTTCTAATACAGTGGTACCTCGGGTTAAGAACTTAATTTGTTCTGGAGGTCTGTTCTTAACCTGAAACTGCTCTTAACCTGAAGCACCACCTTTAGCTAATGGGGCCTCCTGCTGCTGCTGTGTCGCCGCTGTACGATTTCTGTTCTCATCCTGAAGCAAAGTTCTTAACCCGAGGTAATATTTCTGGGTTAGCAGAGTCTGTAACCTGAAGCGTATGTAACCTGAAGCGTATGTAACCTGAAGCGTATGTAACCCGAGGTACCACTGTATCAGAATATGTTATTAACAGCAGTGTTGCAAAATCATTTTCACAAGTTACTGTACTTGTCCCCAAAATGTTTTCCTAACCTGCCTACCCATACATAGTTGTTTTGTGGTATATTGACAGTTGGAAAAGGAGAAAATAGTCCTAGCTAGCCACCAGGGGTTACTTCTCGCTTGTTCCAACTGTCTCGGGTAAACGGCTGTTTGCAACTTGACTGTGAGATTGTCCAGCTCAACAAGTTGTCTTATTTTATTCTGACTCTCTACCCTGTCATGGCCAAATTCTGTGTTTGAGAACGTAAAAGGGCTAATAAAATCTTTGTGAGAATTTCCCTCAGATTGCTCTGTTTGATGTAATAACTAGTACTGTACAGTAATGGATCAACTTGATGAGAGATCACCAGCTCAACCATGTCTGAGGCTTGATAGAAAAGCCCAGAAACTACCTTGGCCCTATACTTGTTTTCATTTATATTTAAAGGCATGTTGTGTGTTTTCATCATCATCACAGAATCATAGAACTGTAGATTTGGAAGAGACCACAAGGATCATCGAGTCCAACCCTCTGCAATGCAGGAATCATTTGCCCAACGTAGGGCTTGATTAAAAGTCATGCTCTACCAACTGAGCTATCTCTGATGGGCTTTTGGTCTGATCCAGCAGCCTCTTCTTACGTTCTTAGCTCTCTTTTTTTTAATTTCACAGGATATCTGGAGACGACAAGGGATGCTAGTGGATTTCATCTAACAACTTTTGTTGCTACTTGTCGCATTTTCTTCTCTTAATGGGTTTTAATATTGGCTTTAGAATACTTATTTAGAATAGCCAATTCCAATGGGATGATGATGATGATGATGATGACAGTGGTACCTCGGCTTAAGTACTTAATTCTTTCCAGAGGTCCGTTCTTAACCTGAAACTGTTCTTAACCTGAAGCACCACTTTAGCTAATGGGGTCTCCTGCTGCCGCCACGCTGCCGGAGCACAATTTCTGTTCTTATCCTGAAGAAAAGTTCTTAACCTGAAGCACTATGTCTGGGTTAGTGGAGTCTGTAACCTGAAGCGTATGTGATCCGAGGTACCACTGTATTACATTCTTTGAAGTGTTGATCTCTATCCTTATGCTGGCTATTTGCAGTAATAAACACTGACTGACTTGACTCTATCGTGTATCACAAAATACTTCTGAATTCTGCTTTAAAGTGGCTTGACATGCATTGATTGCTATTCAAAGCACTTTGGGACACATGGGACGAGGTGTGTTTGAACGCTTGGGTCAAGGCCACTGGGGCGATTGTCTGCTTTTGTACATTTCCAGAATTCACCCAACCATTTTATTTAGGAACCCCAACCTGGGCTGAATACTATAACCACATACATAAGGTGTTGCTTGGAAAAAACAACAACTGTTTTCTAACGCTCCTGATTTTCCTTTGTAGGTAAAGGCAGCTCAAGCCTCTCATCCGACGTGAGTTCAAGTACAGATCACACTCCAACCAAAACTCAAAGGAATGCCGCCACCAGTGAAGGTATGCCAATGGTATTCCTTGTCTCTGTCTTACTGTCCAAGTTTTTTTGGGAGGGGGGTATATTTCCCCCTTTTGATCTTCAGCTAAAAACAAAAGAGCAAAAACCAACAAACAACTGAAAAGCAGCATTAATTCTCCAGCCCATCTTTACTTTCACATTTTGTCTCTTAATGCGTGGGGGCTCATGACAGTTGGGGGGGGGACCCATATCTTTAAGAGACATTGCAAAAAGAAGCACCATATTTTTCGCTCTATAAGACACACCTTTTCCCTTCTTAAAAGGAAGGGGAAATGTGTGTGCGTCTTATGGAGCGAATGCTGGCTGCGCTGCTATCTCTGAAGCCAGAACAGCAAGAGGGATTGTTGCGCAGTCTCCAGAATAATATGATATTGCATAAAATGGGAACCCAGTTTAGTCCACCCTACAAGAGGTTCAAAGAAACTATATTTGAGAGTAGCCCAATTGGGATTCCTGCTAGCTCTCCAATTGTTAGTCTTACTCAGCAGGTAGGCCTGGTGATATAGTTCCAGATTTGGGAGGCCAAAGCCACCTTCCACAAAGGGAGGAGACTTGAGTGCAAAAATAAAATAAACGTCCAAGATGGAGGTGATATTGCGTGGGAATTTGAGCGCAGGGGCCTTTGAAACCTCCCATGCTTTCTTGGGAAGGACGCATCTCCAAGGTCGGTGGGGTTTACTCTCGAGTAAGGGTGTGCAGAGTAAGGAGGAGGGAAGCCGGGTGAGGACTCAAAGGGGGCGAGGTGTAGGTGAGGGAATTAAGAGTGACATGGTGGGTGACACTGGGGTGTGAGGGATGGGCGTCCTCTCTGGAGGGTTGTTTCCCATCATAAAGAGTATCTGAGGGGTGGGTCAACAGGACTTCCGCCAGCCGACTTCCTTTGGGACTGATAGGGGTGCATGTAAATACACTTGTGCAGGCTGCATTTTGCAAGAAACAGGTGCTTAATTGTTGGCAGGCGGAAGAGTGACCCTTTTTGGGTCATGTGGTTTGTGTTTACCCTTTTATCTTGTGAATGTAGATGTTTACATGCGGAATAAGTATTGGAAGGGAGGAGTGTTATTGGTTCGTTCTTGCTTTCATTCTGTATTTTGTGTTTTTCACCTTGTGTTTTTATGCTGTGAACTGCCCTGAGACCTGGACATGAAGGGCGGTGTGCAAATTCATTAAATGAATAAATAAATAAATAGAAGGGGCTTAAGAGAGAAAGGAACTGAATGGAGAGAAAAAGCACTGAGTTATACCCTAAAATTATATATCAACGGAAAGATCATTTAATGAAGAATGTAAATGTGGCGTTTGCCTCCTAGGATGGGTCATAAGGAAAGGGTTAAAATGGGTGTGATGTGATTGGCCAGTGAGAATGCAAGAGGGGAGTAAAAGATAGAGTGGGAGGTTTTGGAAGTCAGTTGAGGTTTGGGAGTTGAAGAAGGAAGAGGGAGGATTAGGTGTGGGTTGGTAGAGTTGTATTGTGTGTGAGAGAGAGGAATTGTTAGGTGGAGTCAGATAGATAGTTGGGGATAATCAGTTTGGAGTTGTTAGGAACTAAGATTAAGAAACTGACAAGAGAAAAATAAACTGAAACCATACGCTTGTTCCTGCATTTAAAAATAAACTTGATTATTTGTTAATGTTAACAACTGTCTGGACTCCTTGTGTCCCCGTGAGAAGCGGGGTGGTGGCAGCGAAGAAAGCAATCACAGTGGTGGCACAGGGTCAATAGACCGTCAAACGTCCAGGGGCCCTGTGTGGTCGCCACAGTAATGCAATAATTTTCATGAAGGATTATTTATTACAGCAGCAGTCATAAAGAAGAAACGTGAAAGACACAGAAAAAATGAGATATTCGGGTGAAATTGCCGTGTTGGCACTTTGTGATAAATAAGTGGGTTTTGGGTTGCAGTTTGGGCACTCGGTCTCTAAAAGGTCGCCACCACTGGCATAGTATATTGTCCTTGCTGGGTCTTCCATTTAATACAATGAGGGCTGGACTTTTATTTTCAAAGGTGGTAATGGAATTATTCTGGGAGTTGATCTGCTACACTTGAATGTTGTGTTTTCCTGGTGCTTAGAAGTCTGTGCCAAGCAAGCGATAAAGAACATAAAATGAGGCTTCTGGTTCAGTGGTGGTTTGAAAGTTTGATGAATCTCACCTGGAGTTAGGAGGGAATGTGTCCTTTTTGGAATGTGGATGTTTTGGTGAAAACGTGTGGTAGATGTAAAGGTCGATATCTATCTTCAAGCACAATTGGAAATATAACCACTTTATGAAGATGCTTTTTACAGGAGCAGTAAGTAAACAAACAAACCCCTGTGTTGCAATATGAGCAATATCAAAAGCAACACGATGGCCAGAAACAATAACAATGTGAAAAACTTGATGGAATAATTCAAAACATCAAAACTAACAAACTGAAGTCTCTGAAAGTCTCTGAAAATCCTTAAATGAATCACGGTGCCAGACTTTACCCGGCAGGGAGCAAGTTGTGAAGCTTTGTATAATCAGCGAATGTCCAATTCTGATGTCCAACTCTGAACTCTGCTGAATAGTGTTTCCGGATAACAACTACTGTTTCGTTGAATTCTTCATCAGCCAATTAGTTCAACACCAATCTTTTTTCGAATAGATATAATGAATAATACTCTGGAACAGTGCTCATGCAATTAACATATTTTTCGCTCTATAAGACACACTTCCCCCCTCCTAAAAAGTAAGGGGAAATGTGTGTGTGTCTTATGGAGCAAATGCAGGCGGGAGGCTCTGCTCAGCGCTCCCTTTAAAGAGCCGCTGTGATCTATGAGCGGTGATCCCTCTTGCTGTCCTGGCTTCTGGAATTCAGAATATTTTTTTTCTTGTTTTCCTCCTCCAAAAACTAGGTGCGTCTTATGGTTTGGTGCGTCTTATAGAGCGAAAAATACGGTATGTAGTCAGTTAACTGGGGCCAAGAGGCATTGATGTTGGGCAGAACTGACTTACTGGCAGGAATGCCAAACTGGTGCGTTCTTGCCCCCTAGTCTTCACCATTATGCTACGCCATGCAAGCTCTTCTTGCTTATACGGGTATACATAGACGTGCTATGGCCACAGTGATTTAGCTCCAATCCAAAGCTCATGTGCTCTGATAACATGCATGAAGTTCTGGTTGTGAAGCTGTGCCATATTCCAGGGGGATGTTAAGCCTAGTTCCAGAGGCCAGTGTTTCCCAAACTCCAGCTGTTTTTGGACTACAACTCCCATCATCCCTAGCTAGCAAGACCAGTGGTCAGGGATGATGGGAATTGTAGTCCAAAAGCAGCTGGAGATCCAAGTTTGGGAAACAGTGCCATAGACTTTCAGCCAGCTTGGCTTCACATCTTCTAGATAGAAATGTAGGACGCCAACTTGATTCTGTGTCAGATCTTTGGTTCATCGCAGTTAGAATTATCTTATACTGCATGGCCTTACAACTGAAACAGAATTACCTTCCCTAACAAAGCACAGCTCAGAGCTAGGCCCAATTTTGCTGTGTAGTGTGTTGCTTGAGATTTTATAGTCGAGACTGCTTCATTGCTTTATTTTATTGGTCTTTGTTTTTTTGGCACTGTTGCTGGTATTATTGTATTAAGCTGTTCCTGAGCTGCTTTGAGAGCCTTGGCTTCTGCTTAAGCAATTCAAGACCATATTAGGCTTTTGAGGGTTTTTTTGTGGCGATCCGGCAATGAAAAATGACTTTACTATTTGGTTGATTAAATTTTCGTAGATAATTCATACCGAGTGATTATAAGCTCTATGTTAAAAGTATTATAGCAAGGACCACTCACTGTGTCAAAAGAATGTGTGGCGTTTTCGTCCAATTTAGTTGGCTGGGGTTGGTTTACTGTAAGAAACGACCAGAGTCTGGTCTCTCCGGCTGGTGTAAAAAATGTATTTTGTCAATGAGTAATGTAGAGTAAGCTTTGCGCATTAGCCTGCTTTGAGACTTCCGGCCAGTACCCAAGTGGCTTATTTTCTCCAGACTTGTAAAAACAAATTCAAATTCAAACTTGCAAAATAAAAAGATTTCGGGAAGGCGAATTATGGGAACTCTTTGTACTTCGTTTCCTGCCCCAGGAACCCAAAGCGTGCGCCTCTTTTATAAGGCTTTTTATACTAGTATGTTTTGGTTTCATTTGATATTCCTGTTTTGTACCAACCACTTTGGGCTTGCTTTTAAAAATATAATTCGCCTATTAAACATAACACTCAAGAGATATTAAGCTGACTCCACTCTAAACCAATTCCTTTCCTGTAAAAGTGGGGGAGGCGGGGAGCAGGAAAGGTTCAGAGGTAAAAAATATCATTCTCAGCTGACTTAGATGGTAATCCATCCCTGAGGTTGTATCCAGAATGAGATCAAGAGGCCTTTGAGCTTGGGCACTCTCTTCTTCTCATCCTCCGCTGTGGAGACGAGTTACTAAATGGATCCTGGACCTCGCAAGATTTAAAACAAAAGTCTAATAATCTTTGATCACCCTTGGTTTTTATCTACTTTCCTCTGCTTAAATTTACTTTGCAAGCTTCTTGGGACAAAATCTTGTCTTTAAGCCATGTCGTAAAGATCCATGGATGCTGATGTCACTATAAAACTCATAACCAAAGTGAGTTCTTTGTTGCATTTGGAGGAATTAGGGCACCATTAAGCTCATCTGGATAAGCCCATGGTGCTAGACCAACACCATGACTCTAGTGAACTCTGCAAAAATGGAAATAAAGACACTATAGGAGCCGACTTTGCTTCCTCTCAACCACCACAAAAAACTCTAACAAGAAATACACAGGCGCTCTTTTCTCTTTAATCAATCAGACTTTAAAAATAACTCTGCCTATGTTTCATCTCATCTATCATAACCCCTATTTCCCCCCTGTAATATTAACACAGATTTGCCAAGAGTAATTAAACCTATAATGATTCTGATTATTTATTCAAACTACTTTGCAAAAAAACAACCCCCTCTTTAATTT